GTCGACAGCTGGACGGAGGTTTGTTTATATTTTTCATTCTAAAACTACCTATTACAACCGACTTTCATTGGATTGCCGATATGATTTTAGTAATATTTGACTTAAAAATTGTATTTAATTTGGATACTGATTTTTAGGATAATATAATATCAATCAAATATGGGGTTTGCCTATACACTGTACTGTAAATCCAGAAATCTGGTTATTACATATTCCCTATATTTTTTTTCTTACCATAGACTGTTAAACTCAAGTGTATATCTGATTCTACAGCAATTGTTAGTTTCATATACGATTTTATATGAAACAAAATGTTATTTGAAAAATTGAGAATAGATTATGTTTACAAATACCCAATCTTGAAAAAAATGTCGAGCATATAATAAAAGTAGTGCATGAACACAAACAAGACAATAACAAAATGTTGCGTTTCCTCCCCAATCTTTTCTCTAATACAGATATCACATGCTTACACTAGAAAATTATTTAAATCTAGTTTTGCTGGTAATGATGATGATGATTATGATGATAATGATATAATGATTATAGTCATTATAATGTTAATGATGATGATAACGAAAATTATAATAATAATTGTAGTAATAATAATAATAATTATTATTATTATTATTATTATTGTTATTATTACTGTTATTATTATTATCATCATTAGTAATTTCATTGCTAGCATCATCATTATCATTATTACTATGATAATAGTATTAATGGGGATAATAATAATAATGATAATAATATTAATAATAACAATAACAATATCATTATTGTTGTTGTTGTTGTTGTTATTGATAGTGATAATGAGGATTATAGTAAGTATGATAACTAATAATACTTATAATAACAACAATAGCAACAATGATGATGACAGCAATAATAATGATAATAATAATAATAATAATAATAATAAATATAATAATAATAATAATAATATAATAATAAATAATAATAATAATATAATAATAATAATAATAATAATAATAATAATAATAATAATAATAATAATATAATAATAATAATAATAATATCATGATAATAATAATAATAATAATAATAATAATAATAATAATAATAATAATAATAATAATAATAATGATAATAATAACAACAAAAGCAATCATGATAATAATAATAATAATAATAATAATGATAATAATAATAATAACCATGATGATACCAATGATAATAATAACAATAACAATGACAATAATAATAACCATGATGATAATAATAATAATAACAATGATGATGATAAAGTAATAGCAATAACAATTATCTATTAACAGAGAAAAGAACAGCTACTCTCATCACAACAACAGTAGTAATAAACGTGATAATAATAACCATAGCTAAAATAATCGTATCTAAAGAAAAGATAAGGGATTCATTCAACATAATACTTGACAAGAATCAAGTAGCAAAAGAATTTTCTTGTTTGATTGAACTACGCATTGACAGAGATATTTCTCTATTAAAGACTCATCACATATCAAGTAATGTATTAAAGAATGTGTCCCTCTTTGGTTTAAGCGCAGCACCCGTCACATTTAAGAAGGAAATAGTTAAAGAATGTTTCCTTGTTTGATTTAAGCGCGCGAGAACACTGCTCTCCGCGGCGATCGTCCCATTTCAAAGAATCAGAATGACTTCATCAGTCAAGAACCAGTTAGGGGACGTGTTCCCATTTGATTTTAGCTCAACAGCCATCCCATTTGAAAGAATGAGCGAGTTAAAGAATCTATTCGCATTTGACTTTAGCGCGCATGGGCAGAGGCTCGGGGAGTCACGTGACGCGATCCCTGCATTGATTGGCCGACTTTCGCGCATGCGCAAGGCCCATTGAGAGCCAGAGCGGTTTACGCCATTTTGGTGCGAGTCCTGTTGTTCAGTGTCGTGGTGATCGGCTTGTATCCAAGCCATCTCTGCATGTGGGTCACTAAGAGGATTATATATTAGTGTAACAATGAGTACTAACGCCAACAACACCAGCAAGGTGTCTACAACGGATAGGGTCATCAAAAGTAAGTACGGATGATATTCTCGATAGCGAAGACTATTCCTCTCCCTCTCTCCCCTATCAATGGCGGCAAAACGTCACCTCGATAAGTTTACTCGCCTCTTTCGGGTCGTGGAATCGAGTGGAATGCCAACAGCGTCGTGAAAAGGGTCTTGTGTAATGTCTGTGTGAGAACCGTGGTGGATTTTCGTGCATTCATCGCTTTAGGGCAACGTAAGAGCGGATAAATATTTTGTCGTCTGCTTGGCATTCCTATCGAAATTTCGTCTGCTACTTCCCCAGCTGTTGATCTGTCAGGCGGATCGGGACGAAAACCGTGGTCGTTTTCGCCCCGTTCATCCCCTGGGAAGTCGTCGGGGTAGAGTCTGTCGGGGGTCGTGGGTGGTCGTTTTAGAAAGGCCAAGGAGCAGGTCGTCGTCGTCGTCTTGGGCTCGGGAACGACACTTGTTTTGGTTCTTCTGTTCTTGACATCAAATGGAGGTCACTGGTGTTGATTGTCGCTGAGGGGATGGGGAATACCAGTACTATATTCATTCATACGTTTGCTTGATTACACTTCATTCTGGGATGGGCGTCGTGTGTAACATTTTAGAGGTGGTGGGCGTGGTTTGTAGTGGTTTCAAGTGCGTTACGACCACTCATTCGTTGTTAAAAAATAGGATGGGGGGAGAGGGAGAAAGACACTTATCAGCAACATCAGTAACGCTTAAGTAATGCGGGAATACCAGGCACACTCGCTTAGAACTTTTCCTTGGAGTATGTTGTCGTGGTATGTTTTGTGGTGTTCGGTCCACAAACTATCTTGGGAGTGGAAAGTGTAACACGACACGACACGGGGAGCTTGTAACGACCCCTGTAACAAGGCCGGATTCACATGTTAGGCTGCCATACGAAAGGGGAATTTCCCAGATGTCTAAACAAGTAGATTTCTTCAACCGAATGTGCCTTTGTTATTATGTAACACGGTATTGATAACGATTTTTTTTATAAAACGAGTTTAGTGTTTCTGAATTTCGGTTTTGAATTCGAGCAAGGGCAGGGTTGGTAACGTTTGATTTCGATCTTGGCTCTGTAGATAAACGTTTGAACATTGTTGATATTTGAACTCCGATATGAAAAAAAACTACATCTGGTGACCTCCTGTCGACTTCGTGCTAGAAGGACACAAGTAGTCGCGGCACCTGATGTTTTCCCAAGCCTGGATCCTCCCAAGGTTTTCATTCATGTAAATTTATGTATATATACATTCACCCTACGCCCTCCCCCCACCCCTCTTGCTCCATTTCTTACGTCGGATTGACATGGAAACCTATCGTCGGGTTTTTATTTGAAAGCCAAAACAGAAAGATATGATGCATATTTTGAATTTAGGGCCTGTGTGAATATTCTGGTGTAGTGTTTTATTTCGCCTGTCAATGAGAAATAACGAATAGGGTAAGATATTTATATCGCGGGTGGTATTTGATGGCGTGAGTGGGTTTTAACTGATTTTTCATCGTTTTAGGAGAATTTAGGATTTGTTATTTAACAGTGGTCGATTTTCAACGATTTTGGTACGAAAGTGCGTAGGTTGCTGGTTAAGGCTTTTTTTTATTTTGCAATTTTCATTTGGTTATCGTGGCGTATGTTGTTGTCTAGAATAAGTCGGTGGAACGTCTGATATGCCATATCTTCTCCCTTCGTATCTGGTCTTGCCTAATCACAGTCCTATACCCTCACCTCCCTCTCTCTCTCTCTCTCTCTCTCTCTCTCTCTCTCTCTCTCTCTCTCTCTCTCTCTCTCTCTCTCTCTCTCTCTCTCATCTCTCTCTCCTCTCTCTCTCTCTCTCTCTCTCTCTCTCTCTCTCTCTCTCTCCTCTCTCTCTCTCTCTCTCTCTCTCTCTCTCTCTCTCTCTCTCTCTCTCTCTCTCTCCTCCTCTCTCTCTCTCTCCCTCTCTCCTCTCTCTTCTCACCATGCCTGCATTTTCCTTGTCGCCCTTACCGTTGTTCCCTCTTGCCATCTCGACTCCTTATTCCTTATAGCTCCTTAATCATCCCCTTTTTCTTATCCACTTCAACTTCGTGTGTGTTCTTCTATTCACTTTCTCTTTTGATATCCTGCATTCACTTTCCAGACTCTTCCCTTCGTCTTCCTCATTTTTTCCATGTGCACTGCTTTCTCTTTCTCTTTTTTTTTCTCGTCCATTTTCTCCTCCTCCGGTTCGTTATTCCCCTTCATCATCTCCGCCGGTTTGACCTCCCTCTTCTCTCCTTCCTCCTCCTCCCCTTTTCTCTCCTCCTCCTCATTCTCCCCCCTCTTCTCCTCTTCCTCCTCCTCCTCATTCTCCCCTCTCCTTTCCCCTCTTCCATTCTCCCCTCTTCACCTCTTCTTCCTCCTCCTCATTCTCTTCCCTTTTCATCTCCTCTTCCTTTTCTTTCCCTTCCTCGTCATCATCCTATCCTTCAGCCTTTCCCTTTCCCCTCGTCGTCGCCCCCACCCCTCGGTCTTTCTTTTTCTGTTTCTCGTCTCCTTTTTCTATCATTTCTTCTCCCATAGCCTTTTACCCTTCCTATCTCCCACGTTCACCCCTCTTCTCCTATCTTACTCCCTCGCTGCATCCTTCTCCCCTTTCCCCTCGCTTGATTCACCTTTCTCCTCCATCTTTCACTTGCTTACACTTGCTTCTTCTCCCTTCTCCTCTTCTCCCTTACTTGCTTCATCCTTCTCTTCATCTCCTTCCTTCGCTTCACCCTTCTCATCTTCTTCTCTCACTTCACCCTTCCTTTCCTTTCCTCCCTCACTTCACCCTTCTCCTCATCTTCCTCCCTCACTTCTTCACCCTTCTCTCCTCATCTTCCCTCCTCACTTCACCCTTCCTCTCCTCATCTTCCTCCCTCACTTCTCACCCCTTCTCATCATCTTCCTCCCTCACTTCACCCTTCTCCTATTTCCTCCTCACTTCACCCTTTCGTCCTCTTTCTTCACGTTC